CGGTCTGGGTGTGGCTGTGTGTCCCATATGAAAGGGACAGCCATGGGGTGTCTGCAGTTTGGAAACTCCCCTGGGAATGTGGGTTCCCTCCTGTCCTTCACAGCCCCTGGAACAGGGTGGGGTCCTCCCTCAGCTATCATGTGATTGTGCACATGCACACACATGCAGGACACACCCCACAGACACAAATGCAGACATGCCCCCACGCACATGCGGATACATACACTCCACTCACACAGAAACGCTATATACAGACACACATAACACAGACACACATATACCACACAGCATACCACGACACACTACACAGACTCACATAACACACACAACACACACACAAGGTATTTTCTTAGCTTCGAACATTAATTACTAAAAGGCAGAGTTTAGTCTCGTTGATATGCCTGGTTTCTTTGTATGAGAATTCTTACTCAGATGACTTAGACTTCTTGATATAGAAGCAGTCCATACTTATAAGTGATAATGGGGATAATTTTTCATTTCTAGGCACCAGCTGCTTTTGGGCTGGTTTCCTTCTTAATGCACGCTGGTCTGGAGCGGAACCGAATCAGGAAGCATTTGCTGGTCTTTGCACTGGCAGCGCCAGTTATGTCCATGGTGACGTACTTGGGACTAAGTAAGGTAAGTCTGACTGGTTCTTGGCTTACTTGGACAAGTGTCTAGTTCTTTTGTGATATATGAGAACTTAAAATCTCTTACGCTGAATTTTTCCAACCAAGTTACCCTCTCAAACTAGAAGATAAAATTTAGAGTAATACCTCTACAAGGGAAATTACCTTAATTCTAATTCGGTCCTCTTCATAAATTTCACATTTCCTTATTCATTTATTTTATTTATTTATTTATTTATTTATTTTTGGAGATTTTTTTTGCTATAGAGCGCGTGTGCTCGCCAGACAGACAGAGACAGAGAGACAGAAAGCGAGAAATCGCCCCCCAGGGGGTATGGCCATGCCACAGTCCCTTCTCCTCCATTCTCCTCTTAGGATCATGAGAACGCATGCACACACACCCAGTGTGAGTATTAAGCCACCGGGTCCAGGACGCGAACCACGGTCGACTACATGGGAGTCCAGCAACATAGCCATTGCACTAACTGCTGGTCCCTTCCTTATTAATTTAATTTGAAGACTTCTTCCCTTGTCAGTTCCAAGAGTATTTGCAGAAATTTATGATAGTAGTTATGCCAGATGGTGGTATAGTAATAAAACACAACATTCTGTGAGGCTCGTCCACATGGGAAGGTTCTGGATTCATGTCTGGAGACATCCCTGAGTACACTGGGCATGCTGAAAAGTTTGAAAAAAAAAATTTTTTTTTTTGAGAGGTTTTTGCTATATGGTGCATGCACTCACCAGAAAGACAAAGAGAGACAGAGAAATAGAAAGCGAGAAATCACCCCCCAAGGGGGGATGGCCATGCCGCAGTCCCTTCTCCTCCATTCTCCTCTTGGGATCTTGGGCATGCACACACAAGTGCCCGGCGTGAGTTTAAGCCACCGGGTCTGGGACTCGAACCACGGTTGGCTACATGAGAGTTCAGCAACATAGCCATTATACTAACTGCTGGTCCCCCCAAAATATTTTTTTAATAAATAAAAAAAGATAACTTAATCTTAACCAGCTGTGCTAATTTTATTTGACAGACACATAAGAAGTAATAATCTTTTGTTTTCAGTGTTGTAGTTGACACAGGAAGCAGGAATAACCAGTCACATGGCAGCTGTAGAAGAGTAGGGGTTGAGCAGAGATCACTATATTCAGTTAAGACTCTGATTCTTTTACTCCCAGCTCATATCACTGAATATTAAATACTTAGTTCTTTATCATTGTGCTGAACATAGTTGGAGACCTGAAGTGGCTTATGTCATTAGCTCAGAACTGGACATTCTTCTTTTTCAAGTTGGACCTTTCCATGCCTTACAGATCTGTCTACCTGGGCAACAGCTCTTAGCAGCAGCCCTCAACATTTTACCTAATGTCATTTGTCAGGCAGCAGGAAGAAAATCTTAGAACCAGACCAACTCGGGGCTACTTTAATGGAAACTGCTTTCCCCCTGCCCTCTCTGAACCTGATTGACTCTCTTAGTCTATTATTGCCTGCTAATAGAAATACCTGAGGCTGGTGAATTATAAAGAAAAAGTTTAAGGGGGACCAGCAGTTAGCGTAATGGCTATGTCACTGGACTCCCACGCAGTCGACCACGGTTCAAGTCCTGGACCCAGTGGCTTAAAACTCATGCCGGGCGTCGGGCGCGTGTGCGTGCGTGCCCAAGATCCCGAGAGGAGAATGGAGGAGAAGGGATTGCGGCGTGACCATCCCCCCTGGGGGGTGATTTCTCACTTTCTGTCTCTCTGTCCCTCTCTGTCTGGTGAGTGCACGTGCCCTATAGCAAAAACCTCTCCAAAAAAAAAAAAAAGAAAAGAAATAGTTTAATAACCAACAGTTCAGGTGACTGGAGAGTCCAAGGGCATCACAGAATGGTGGAAGGCAGACCTTTCAGCAGAGCATATTCATGTGGCGTTCTCTCTTTGTTCTGGTCTCTTTCCCTTTGTTTATATACCCAACATAACACAGTCGTAGAGGTCCTGCCCTAATGAGAGTATCAGGCCCAAAGGACTACCCTGAGATGCCATGTGGGACTTAACTTCTCACTAATAGCTTTATAATATACTCTATGTAATTAAGTCCCAACACATGAACCTCTGGGGGACTCATCTCTGCTCACTAAGACCAAATTCTAAAACATAACATTTTGGGAGACAAGCCATGATCCAAACCATAACACTGACTCGTCTCAGTGTTAATCAGTTTAGTATTTGAAACAGTAAAACCTATATTAAAAGGAATGGAGTGTGGGACGAGCAGATGGCATGATGGTTGCATCGCTGGACTCCCACATAGTCGACTGTGGTTTGAGTCTTGGACCTGGTGACTTAAAACTCACACCAGGCATGTATATGTATGCATGTGTGTCCAAAATCCCAAGAGCAGAATGGAAGAGAAGGGATTGCGTGTGGCCATCCCCTCAGGGGGTAATTTCTCACTTTCTGTCTCGGTCTCTCGGGCGAGTGCACACACCCTATAGCAAAAATCTCTCAAGATATAAAAAAGGAATGGAGGGCCCAGTTCGTGGCATGGTGGTTAAGGTGGCTGGACCCCACATGGCTGACTCAAGTTCAATTCCCAGATCCTACAGCTTGGAAAATCATGCCGGGAGCACATACATGTATGCCCAAAATCCTGAGAGGAGAATGTAGAAAAAGGGATTTCGAGCTGGCCATCCCTCTTGGGGGATGCTTTCTTACTTTCCTTCTCTGTCTCAGTCTCTGGGAAATGCATGTGCCCTGTAGCAAAGAAAAAAAGTAATTGTGATGAATATAGTTAGTACTACTGTATTGTAAATCACAATTCCTAAGAGAATAAATTTCAAATGTCCTCAACTCTCCCACAAAAAAGAATATAAGTATTTGAGGTATTGGATATGTTAGTTATCGTGGTTTAAGTATTCTACATTGTGCTCATAGATCATAACATCACTTTGTAACCCATAAATATATAAATTATAAATCATCTATTTATGATTAGGTGTTCTTTTAAAATCTGTTGTGGGGTCAGTAGGTGGCATAGTGGTTAAGGCGCTGGACTCCCACATGGCCAACTGTGGTTTGAGTCCCAGACCTGGCAGCTTACTTTCTCACTTTGCCTCTGCCTCTGTCTGTCTGTCTCTGATGAGAGCACATGCACTAAAGCAAATTTTTAAAAATAATAATTTTCTTTAAAAAAAAGCAATTGTGTACATCACTGCTATTCTTAAGTCGTTATTTAAAACATCCCCCAAATAACATAAAATTGCTCTGATCTCAAGATGCCCTTGGGAACCAGCAGTTAGCGTAATGGCTATGTCGCTGGACTCCCACGTAGTCGACCGCGGTTCGCGTCCTGGACCCGGTGGCTTAAAACTCACGCCAGGCGCATGTGCGTGCGTGCCCAAGATCCTGAGAGGAGAATGGAGGAGAAGGGATTGCGGCGTGACCATCCCCCCGGGGGGTGATTTCTCGCTTTCTGTCTCTATGTCTCTCTCTGTCTGTCTGGCGAGCGCACGTGCCCTATAGCAAAAATCTCTCCAAAAAAAAAAAAAGATGCCCTCAGTGTCTCAGACAGCACTCGTGATGAATATTGTGTTTTTTAATTGGGACTCCTCCTGCCCCCAATTTTACTTAATTCCCCCTCTGTTTCTCTTTTCATTCCCAGAGCAGTAAAGAAGCCCTTTCAGAAGTCAATGCCACTGGAGTGGCCATGCTTTTCTCTGCTGGGACATTTCTCTACGTTGCCACAGTACACGTCCTCCCTGAGGTGGGCGGAATAGGGCACAGCCACAAGCCCGATTCCAGTGGAGGGAGAGGCCTCAGCCGCCTGGAGGTGGCAGCTCTGGTTCTGGGCTGCCTCATCCCACTCATCCTGTCAGTAGGACACCAGCATTAAATGTTCAGGTTCCAGCCTCAGTCCATGGCCATGTGCCACCTGGTGAGAACAGCTGGCACGTGACAGCACCTCACTTCCTCAGTCTCTTGTCTCGCCTTGCCCATTTCCACCTGTATTCCTAGAGTCCGGAGAGAGGTGAGATGAAAACCTGGAGTAATGGAAAAAAGCTTTTAGAGTAGAAACAACACATGGCGTTGGACATAGACATTCCATTGTGTTGTCTTTTAAAGGGCCCTTGGCATTTTGAGTTTTGATGTTTCTCTTAACCCTATTCTCAGGGAAGATGGAATTTAGTTTTACAGAAGAACAGAGAACTTCAGACTCATGATAAAATAGTCATTATGAAAATACAGTGTTCTGTAATTAAGCTAAATCTCTTTCTTCTTTGTTTAGAGGCTCTGCCACTTTTTCCATTGATTTTCAACATGGTTCTCACCGTGTCAGACTGGTGCTTTAGCATCTATGCCACATGCCTTGATAGAAGGTCATAGCACCCACTCACTCTCTTAGATGCTAAAGGTGATTACGGCTCATTTGGGATAAGAGTTAGGAAAATGATGGCAGAACATCTGGAAGCTGATCTGATATTCAGAAGAGATATCCATTGAAAGGAGATGTCCAGAGAGACTTAAACACCTCCTTTTGCATGTGCCTCTCTAAATACAGCCTGCCATTCCATCAAATGGAAGAGCAGAGGTGGAACTGCCAGCTTCTAAAGAGGTGACTCTGGTATTTTTTAGCATTTCTTTTCAAGTTCTCCTTTGCAGAATACCTGCCTCCAAGACATTCTTACAGAGGAGCCAAGTTCTAGTAGGTTCAGGCCTAGGCTTTCCTTCAAGAACAGTCAGAATACAAAATATCTTTGGGAATTAAGGGATATTAATTTTAAGTAAATTACTGACATCTTTATAATAATCTCTTCAAAGTAAGACTACCAAAATCGATGTTGTCCCTTCTTTTTCAATATCTCTCTTAGCAGATCAGCAGTTCCTCTGGCTAAATACTGAGCTAGGGGAGCACCGTGTCTGCTCACATGAGCATTTGTGTAGCAGCCAAGAAAGTCAGATGTATCATAATGGAAAGTGTTTGCCGATTGATTTAAAGCTATTGAAATCATGTCTCTTCATTTTTTCCATGCTTTTCTCCTAACTTTTTCCTCTGGCTCCTCCTCCCCATGGTTTGCTGCTTCCTCCTGGTGGCAGTGTTAATATTTGTGTGAGATGAATTTCATCAGGACAACCACTTCTAGAACTGTGGTGAAGAAGATAATACTGTCCCTTATTCTTATTTCTTACTCTCTTCAAAGAAGTTACCTTGTGTCAAATGCAGGTTGTTAAGAAATACCACCTCCTCATGTGTAAGTTGACACAGTCACTAATATCCTGGTAATTTAAATAATTGAGAGAGCAAAAATGTTTAACAAACTAGAGTAATTTGTTTTCATATTTGCCAAAATCCGTGTCAACCCTGTTTTTGTCTAATAAGTGTCTAATATGGTATTGTTAACTTATTTTGATTTCTGTACCATTTCAAAAAACATTACATTAAGAGGGAATCAAGACTAGTTTCTCCAGGGCAGTGGATTTTGTAGTTTGTAAAAATGTTTTCTGTGATGCATAAGCCAGCATGCCTGTGAGTTCCCTTTCTTCCTAGACTTGTCTCTGGGTCTGCAGCTGTGGAAGTAATCCTTGAGAGCCCCCTGCTGGCTGCAGTGAAGAAGGTAGCGTGAATAGGCTATGGTTTTGTATGGTAGTATGGTGGCAGCGACCATTGCATACAATTTTAAAGACAAGAGAAGGTACAGTCTAGAAAGTCTAAGTGGCTTTCCTGATTAGACAGTACCAGCTGACTTACAAGAGGCTTGGATTTCATCTGGTCCTTCAGAATAATATGCTTGCCTTGATTCTCTCTGGAAACTGACTTTGTCAAATAAATAGCAGATTGTGTGTTTGGTTTGGATAGCAGTGTTTCTGTCGTTGCGTGCAGTGGTCAGAAATTTGTCCTGTAGGCCAAAGCCTCTTTCAGCAGTGCCTTGCCATCACACTTAAAAGTTTGACTGGAATGTCTTGCTGGATAGAGCCTTGAACTCTGGCAAGGCTTAGACCGTTCAACTTGCAAATTTGCCTTCCCCTCTGGACCTCACTACTAATCAGCAAACCTTTCGAGGCCCTACCAACTCTCAGAAGCCAGGGGCTTTCCCAGATTTTAAAGCTGCTGCCTCAGGAACCATTCATTTCTCTCCTGGTCAGCAGGCAGAAATAGCCATACTGATCTTATAGGGCTCAGATGCATCTTCAGGCAGCAGGGAGCCACGCAGATAGAGGCCTCCTTCACCGCAGGGAGAGCTTGCTCACTCGGGCAGCGTCTCAGGAGAGGCCATATCCATGTTGACTTTTTGACACATTTCGGTTCCATTTTCCTCTTGTTTAAAACTGTCTCCTTAGATGTGGATGCCTTAATTTTCTAACACATTTGAAAGCATTGGCAATACTTAAGTTGCTGCCATAATCACAAATGGACTCGTTGGCTACCAAAGAGATGCAACTGATGGTGAACGTGTGGTCTTTCCTTCTCATGACCAAAGTGAATCTTAATTGCAATTTGACTCTTTCCTTAGTAGGGATAGACTTTCTTCAGATCCCAAGTGCTCTCTTAAAGGGCATATTAAGTTGTAAAATAATATTGGTCCATTCCCCTCACTTATTCTCCAGTTAATTGTTTATCAATTCCCATTTCACCAAAGTGGTGATGTTCCAGGTTTGATTTGTGCACTCTTGAAAATTTGTTTTTAGGCAGAGGTTCTGCGCTGGAACTAGAGAGCTGGAAATGGTACTACCTATAGAGGCTATGTGTTCCTTTCTGTCCCCTCACCTTTTTATTTCCCAGTTCAAAACAGCTCCATCATCCCTGTTCCTATATTTTGAATCATTAAAAAAAAGAAAGGGAGTGGCTGTTTTGGGTTGTCTTTCTTTGTGCAAAGGAGGAAATATTTGCATTTTGTTTTGTTCTACCAGCCTACTTCTAAGTGTCACTGCCCCTTTTTTTCTCTTTTTCAAGGATTAAACTAGGAGGACATACCAGCATTGGAGTATATTAGGTCCCTGAACCACGTGGTAACTAGGTACTGAACACGGGGTCTGTAGGCCAATAGCACAAGCCCACAAGGAATGTTCCTGGCTTTGGGCCCCTGAGCCCCTTGGGAGACTAAGACTAATGACAGGTTCATCCCAAACTGTTGCAATGCAAGGAGAGGACCCTCTGTAGTTGTTCTACAAAGGACCTTTCCTTCCCTTAGAAAATTTCTGCTCTATGCAGAATGGTTCATATCCCCCAAAGAACACTGTTGGAAAAGCTGTGATGTTGAAACCAGTGAGATAAACTCTTTGCACCTGAGACATCGAGGGTCACCTCAGGAGACCTGTAGGAAATTTGTGATTCGTGAAAAAGGACTAGACATCCATTTAGGATTCTGTAGATAGGCACAGCCTGACACAGCTGCTTAACACAAGGAGACTGGTGTTGATCTGTCTCTGATGGCATCTCCTAGCAAATCAGAAGTCCCATGGGGTAGCACTACAGTTCCTCTGGTTCAGTAGCCTGAACATGATTTTAAATGTCCCTTTTTCTGGATTCTTTGTAAACATGAAATCATTCCATGGATGGCTGCCTTATAATTTTGTCTCTTTCCACTTTAATTGTGAATGGTTTAAAACAAATTGCTGTTTTCTGATTTGTTTTATGATATTAAATTTTTATTAGTGCATACATTATATGACTGGCTCATTACTTAACCTGTCAGCATTTTGTTTTTCTGTGTGATGACCAGACTTGACCCACATTTGAACATAAGAAAAGGTAATAGAAAAGCCATGAAATACAGTAGAAAGATGTGCCTACTTTATGCACATCTTTCAGGGAATGAAGGAGGAAAGGAAGGAAGAGAAACTAAGAACTCCATATGCCATCTGTCCCAAAAGACACCAAGTTGTTTTTTTTGTTTTTTTTGGTTTTTGCCTTGCCATTGTTGGGCAATATTATTTGTGAAGGTGGCTTTCTGTTCCCAGAAAACAAGCACACAGCAGATCTCAGTTGCAGCAGATTCACTTTGAAGGGCTCTGTCACGTGAGTATATAGCGTTAGGAACAACTGCCCCTGCAAATAGGAGAGTTAAACAGAAGGGCTACTTGTGAATGGGATAGATGTATTCTCCCCCTGTGGACTTCATTTTAACTTAATTACAGACATGCACTACCTAGAGCAGCATATCACTGAACAGATAGCGTGTATGTCTGTCTGGTCCTTAGATTTGCTCATCATTACTGCCCATCCTGTGCCGGTTTCCCATATGTGTCACGTGTGCCCCGGCTTGTTGCAGGGACTGTGCCCAAAGTGTTGAATGGTTCCTGAAAAACGACGAAGAGGACATGGTCTATATTAGGTTGTCGGAAAAGTAACGCTCTGTTTTTCTATGCAAAAATGCATCATGACTTTCTGAACAACCCAGTGTGATTATGATTCCCATCAACCCGCGGAAGCCTTCAGGTGGAGCACTGAGGGCTCAGTAACTGAGTCTGTGAAATAATCTGGCAGTTGGCAGATTAACAGGAGAAACGGTATACAGACAGGTTCATTAAAGGAAAAAAAATAATTGTTAATTTAATTTAATTATGTTAATTTTGAGCAGAGAGAGTGGAAAAGGGAGAAAGCAAGCCACGAGGTCCAGGACTCAAACTGGGGTTGGCCATGTGAGAGTCCAGCACCTCAGCCACCACGCCACCTGCCGGCCCCACACATGTTTGTTATGTGCACCGGGGCGTCACAGGAAAGAAAAGTGAATACCCAACTGCTCTCTGAGCTCTAGAAGTGTACATGCCATCTTCAGAGCAGAGAACGGAGAGATGTAGGCAACTTAGAGGAAATGATTGTGGGAGGGCGAATGCGCCCTCAGCAGAATTAGGTGACAGATAAACTGACAGCTTCTCCTGGATGGCTGGTAGGGTGTCAGCCTTGTCTCCTCTCCTGTGATAGAAGCCCACCTTCCCTGGCAGGGATGCCCCAGAGGGGCTTCATGACAACTGAGTTCCTTTTGGAGGACCATAGGGGGATAAGGGAAACTTAGAGAAAAGCCCTGCTGGCATTCACTTTCCAGCTGCCCTCCGTTCAAAGTAATCCGCATACTGAAGGGTCATACTCTGGGGAGGCGCTTTCTCACTGCATGGTCCGCTCTGGCTGCCACACTATAGAGGGATCCTGACAAACTCAGGAGATACCGGGGGAGGCAGCCTGGTGGAGAGGGGGCCTCAGGGCACTGGAGGAAACTGGGGAGAGCTGGATTGTGTACCTGTCCCTGGAGTACTCTTGAGGGCAGAACTTGATCCCCATCTTCAGAGACTTTAAGTGCTGTCAGCTGTACAAAGCAGCAATCTGTGTTCTGAAGAGGATTGGACCAAAAGTAGGCAGGGCCCCTGTTCCTATTCCCCTTAGTCCCCTTCATCCAGCAGCATCAGTTGAGCCTGTCCCATAGACCAGGCACTCCTTCATGTTGTCAGTTCCAGCCTCTGAAGTGCTTGTGGTTCAGTGAGGGTTCGAACAGGAAGACACTATTGCCAGTAGTGAGGTAGGCACAAGGAGACTAGTTACTCAGGGTCCTATGACGAAGAGGGCTGGGAACCCAGGGGGCCTTCAGGGAGAACAGCCAGGGGGAGATGGAACCTGAGCTGAACCCGATGGCTGAGCAGGATCAGCTAGGTGAGCAACTGGCAAAGGCTCTCAGAGCTGGAGGACTACAGGGGCACCCCAGAGTGCGGGCTCTGCACAGAAGGGGCGCTCAGGCTGAAGTGGGGGAGGCAAGAGGTGGGTGCTGGTTTCTTAGATGGCCTCTAAGCTTCCAGGCTTAAAATTCTATAGGTAGTTGGGCCTAACCATCTGTGGAATTCTGTAGATAGTTGGGGTCCTTGTAATCCCTGCCTCAGCTCCAACCAGTGTCCCCTCCCAGGTACAATCTTGTCTGCCCAAGTTCCAGTCACCACAGATGGACTGCGGATGTGGCAGTCAGCAGGTTCAAGATCCATGTACTCCAGTGGCTTCTCTGACCCCTCAAGGTGGAGCTGGGTGGCTTTTTCTCTCCCCTATTCCTGCTATCTTCATTTTCTGTTGAGGGACTCGTCACATTCCACTGCTGGCCATCTGTTATGGACAGGGGCCATCTGTAATGGGCAGGGAGCTCACCTTCTCCCACACTCCTGCCTTCTGCTCCCTGGTTTACTGAGGTGGGCATGGTGTATCCCCACTACCACCTACTTTCTATGCGCACACACTTCTGTCTTCACGAAGCCCCTCCCCTTCACCTCTGGTTGCCTTCACACCCTCCAGCCTGTCTCAGTTGGGCTAGGGGCAGACGGGCAGGGTGGGGTGTAAAACCTCTGTCATATTATCTCTGTCCCTGTCTTTGCCCTGCTCAGCACTTTGAGAAACCAGAAAAGAACATTCTATTGGACCTGGGGGGGAAAAGGGCATGAAAATATGACAGAGAGTTGGAAGGGCCCCTTTCTGATATATAGTCACGAGGGTTTCAAAGTGTCTTGCTCAAGGTGTTTTCCTCGATCTAAGGGCAGCCTCTGGCACCCGGCCCAGTGACTTGCTAATTCTGCTGATGAGGGAACAGCACTCTGGCTGTCCTTCGGGTGGTAGTGGCTTATTGGTGGGACTCAACACATTTGTCCCTCCCTCAAATAAAATACTGCACTTGCTGTTAAAGCCAATGGATGGACAGATGTAAACTCACACATCGCCCACGAGAGGGAGCAGTGTGCTGCCTGCAGCAATGCCCTTAGATGCTAGAGCCCTTGTTTAATGCGGCAGGGCCACGGGGTCCTCCAGCCACCACAGAAACATTAATACCTTGGCAACTCCAGCCACCGCAGAAACACAAATACCTTGGCAACTGGTATGATTCATGTGTCCTACAAAAATGCATGTGTTGAGTTTGGTTGTGATGGGATTAAGAGAGGAAAAGCTGTGTCGGGAGGCTGGCAGGTGGTGTGGTGGTTAAGGTGCTTGATTCCCAGGTGGCCAAATACAGTTCGAGTCCTTGACCTGGCAGCTTGCTTTCTCACTTTCTTGCTTTCTCTCTCTGGTGAGTGCATGTGTCCTCTAACACACTGAAATAATAATCAAATTAAATCATTAAAAAAAAAAAAAAAAAAACTGGATCAGACTACCCTTCCCTTTGGGAAGAGATGAGGATTAAGGTCATCAGGACGGGCTCCTATGATCAACTGCTAGAGTGTCTATAAAGAAAGGGAATGAGGCCCATGGACACACGCAGATGGACTCTCCTATTCTCACGATTTGACATCCTCACACACTCCCGTTCTCATGATGTGGCATCCCTGCGTGGCTTTGGGACCCACCAACAGAAAAAGCCTTACCAGATGTGGCTCCTGGACCTTGGACCTCAGCCCTCCTTTGTGAGCTGAACAAACCTCTCTTCTCTTAATATCCCAGACTCGGATATTTCTGTTATCAGCGATGGAGTGAACCAGAACAACGTGAGGTGGGAGCGATTCTTGTACAGCAAGAGCAGAAGCCTGTAATTGGCTGCCCTTGCTGATGGGAACAGAACTTGCCTAGTGCAAGGGAGCCCACATGGAGAGAAATCGCTAACAGGGCCTGCCGGGTGGGGAGACTTCCCCTGGCCCTCTGGATCCTGCTCTCACATGCCCATACGTGGTCTCCAGGCTCCCCCATCCCCTTAGTCCTTGGCCTTTGTTCCTCCACATGGTCCCCGTTACCTCATTTTTCTCTTCGGGTTCGCTTGAGGGCAGTCAAGCTTTGTACAGTAAAGGAACCTAAGACCCAACCTGGCCATGGGAAATGCAACACATGTCATTCAATAAAAGAGCTAAGTGTTTCTATCCTCATAAGGTGAGGAGGGAGGGGCATCAGAACAGGTATCACGTATGACCCAGTAATCCTATTCAGGGCCTACCCAAAGGAAAGGAGGTCAGTAAGTCAGACATGGCTGCACTTCCAAGGTTATTCACTAGCTAAGACACGGAACCAACCTAAGGGTCCAGCTACAGATGACAGATAAACACGTCATATACATACAATGGAGTGCTATTCACTACCAAAAAAGAATGAAGTGAGAGGCCTGTGGCTGAGAGAACACAGGCCCAGAGAAGTCCAGGAATTGGCATTAGTCTACGCAGCTCACGGCAGAGCCTGGACTTAAACCCATTTTAACACTAAAAGCAAGTGACAAGTCTGCCATCTGAAGACTGCTTTTGTGTGCATTCTCAACCACCCAACAGATTTTGTTTTATAGAGGGCCTGAGAAGGCCTCCATCTGGATAACAGCAAAGCGAGAGGCCACAGCCCCCGAACAGGCTGAGTGACACACATCAATTCGGCAGGTATGTGTTGAGCTCCTCGCACATGCCTTGGACTCCATCTTGAAGGAGCCCACAGTCAGGAAAGGATGCAAACACAGACAGAAACAGTAAGGCAAACACACGTGTTGGAATGGAAGGCTGGGCCAGGGTCCACAGGCACAGGAGGAGGGTGTAGCTTAGGCTAACACTGGTGCCCTACCCTCATGGAATCCAGGGTAGGAGCCTGAATGATAGAATCAGGGTGGAGGGGGAAAGAGGTCCCAGAAAACACTTGATGGGATAGCAGGGCCTGGGCTGGAGCCCCGGTCTTTCTTCCTCTTGTTTCTTGGTCCTACAGGGATGCTCAGGTTGAGCCTGGCCATCACACTGAC